GATAAGCCACTCTGAATACAATTTCTGTTGCATTTAATAAAGTTAACACATTTTATTAATGGTAATAAACATTACTAATTAGCCCATCCCAGTGTATTTGCAGCATTGAGACTAAAATTGGTAAGATGATACTTTGTATTGAGCCAACCTCTGTTGATAATTTCAAAATATATTTGCTTAGTCAATTCTGCCAATATTTTCAAGTTTGCCAGGTTTCTGTTTTTCTTCAAAAGCAAATACATGTCAGAACATTTTAAACTGGACAATGAATAAATGCTGCTTAAGTAAAGGTAGGAAGAGTCAGAGTATTTCTGTTATACTGAGACTATTTTGGCAAACTGCAATAGTCTGTTGTACCCATAGAAAGCATTCAGGTTGTGCAGAGACTGCTTGGCCTTATTCATCAATCCTGACTAACACAACCTTTCTGTTTGGCAGTTGCTCTTGCATCCTCTTGAGATAAGCTTTGCAGTTGCGGGAAGCTCTGCAACTCTTGCTAAGTGGTCAGCTCAAATTAGATGTGGGAGAGACACAGAGATAAGGACACTACTTACTGGGGAGGTTAATGCATCTCCAGGAAAATAAACTCCCCTGAGAGCTCTGCTATTCTCCAAGGAGACAGAATCAGCCCTTTCCAAAATAAGCATCAGTAATCAAATTAGGACACTTTGAGCAGCTGTCTTATCCATGGATAAAACATCTTGTTTGTAACTTAATATCTTGTTTGCGTGGGTTGGGTAGTTTTTGCATGAGGAATAGGCTGCAGTGTGGTGGTAGATTAATCCTAACAGATGCACACACACATTTAGTTTTTGAGCTTGGATCACACATCCTGTATATATCTTGTGAACATACTGTTGGAATACAGGACTAGCAAGACAAGCATTCCACTTCAGCTGGCTAATTGTAATGTTAGTAATTATGCTAATTTAAAATGGCAGTATTATGAACCTGTGCATAGTTGTAGATGTTCAGAAAATTAGCAGAGGTTAAGAGAGATTTGGGATGTGTCCTTTTGACAGAGTCTGTCATCTTGGAGCATACAAAGGGTTACTCAGACTTAGATAGGAATGCTGAAAGACAAACAAGGAACCATAGTATGTGACCAGAAGAAAATAAGGGGAAGGTGGAAAGCCTGCACAGGAGAATTGTACAAAAGAGAAAGAAGGATAACAGATGCCTTCAAAGAGGAATCCTATTAGGAAGAGCCTGCAGTATTAGAAAGTAAAGTGAAAGCTGCTCTGAAAGCACTTGGAAGAAATAAAGCACCCAGAGTAAAGAGGAAAGGAGAGGAGTCCCTGTGGATTTTACTCGGCTAGCTGAAACAGCTATAGAGGGTGGTGCTCATTTCCATTTCAAGAGTAAATAGGGTACCAATAGAATTATTCCAAGGTACAGAGACTGAATCAGTCCAAATCCTAACACAAATATGTCAGCAAATATCAAAAACAAAATAGCCCGCAGAGTAGAAACATTCAATATACATTTCAATCCCCAAGAAAGGAGATGCAAAGGAGGGCATCAACTATAGAACCATTGCACTGTTTTGCCACTCAAGCAAAGTGATGCTTCAAGGTGTTGCAACAAAGAATACTACCCTATATGGAGCAAGAAATGACTGATGTTCAAACTGGATTCTGAAAAAGAAGAGGCATTCCAGATCATATTGCAAACATATATATGTTGGCTATTGGAGCACACCAAAACAATTCAGAAGTTCAGTCTATGCTTTATAGACTACAGCAGAGCCTTTGGCTATGTGGATAAAGAGAAGCTATTAATGGTTCTGAACAAAATGGGGGTGCCTCTGCACTTGATTGTTCCAACACAAAACCTGTATTGTGAACAAGAAGCTACTGTTAGGACAGAATATGGAGAAACAGAATGGTTTCCTATAGGCAAAAGCTACAGGCAAGGGTGTATTTTATTTCCGAACTATTCAATTGGTAAAGAGAAAATATTATGAGGAAAATTGGATCAGAGAACAGAGTGAAAATTGGCAGAAGGCATATCAGTAAGTTAAGATATGCAGACGATGCCATATCACTGGCAAAAGCAACAGCAAATTGAAATAACAACTGATGAAAGCAAAGGAAAAAAGTGCAGAAGCAGAACTGCAGTTGTGAACATTAAGAAAACAAAAACCATGACTACAGAAGAATTACAGAACTTGACTGTAAACAATGAATAAATCAAAATAGTGAAAGATTTTGTATACCTCACCTCAGTAATCGATTCAGAGGGAAACTGCAACCAAGAAATTAGAAGAAAACTGAGACTTGTATAGGCAGTAATGAAGGAATGTGAAAGATAATCAAGGTAAGGACATTTCAGTGGAGATCAAGACAGTGCATTTCCAATCACTTTGTATGGGTGTGAAAGTTGGACTGTAAAGAAAGCTGACAGGAAGAAAATTCATGCATTTGATACATGGTGCTGGAGGAGAGCTTTGTGAATACCCTGGATCACAAAAAGCTTTCCCTAGAAGCAAAAACTGAGACTGTCATACTAGGGAAACTTGAAGGCAGAAGAAAAACTGACTCCATAAAAGAAGGCACAGCCTTGAATTTAGAACCACTAAATGGCTAGAACATTTTGGAGGGCTTTCATTTATATGAGTACCCAAGGTGGTTAACAAAATTAAAATACAGATCAAACAAAATCTTGGTTAAAACATAACATTAACAGCAAAGCAATTGAAAATGCAACCATAAAATACATAGCCAACATCCAGACAGCCCACCCTTCAAATTCAGACCCCCTTACATGGCAAAAACTTGCCTGAACAGAAAAAGTATTTGCTTGCCAACAGAAGGACAAAAAGGAGCTAACTTAGTATAGAAATCCAAATCCTGACAGTAACTCCCAAGAAGGCCCTTACTCACATTCCCACCAATATGCCTTCGATGGTAATGGGGCTGAAAGAAGGCTCTCACCCAAAGATCTTCAAATCCAATCAGCCCTGTATGGAAGAATGATGACTTCCTTGTTGTTCAAGGAAAGTACCTTTCTCTCTACCACTTTCTAAGCCTTGGCTCCCTACTTCCTTTTTGCCAATCTCTCCATTAACTTCATTTTCACTCTTTATTTGTAAAACCCATGTTTAAAAAAACTTTTCCTGTCTGCTTTCTCTCTGATCTTTTGCATCCTTCTGCAAGTCCTTTCTCAATTCTCCACCCTCTGCCTTCCCCATCTACTGCGATCCATCAAAAGTGCCCTTCAGAAAGTGCATCTATTGTGTGAGTAAACTCAACCCCACTGATGGACAAGCCCTCTGCCTTTCTCTTTGGGCAAGGGGCACATCATTGAATCATGTCCAATTGCCAGGCCTTTACAAAACAGGCCTAGAAACATAGAGCCAATTGATGGAAGGCCAGGACCCTGGAAGCTGCAGGTTCCAGCTGCAGGCCAGGAAAGTGCCCAAGCTTGGAAAAAAGTTGGCGGCTGCAGCCAAGCAGAAGTACAGATTCCATGAGAGCCCCCATCAACCATCAATGCGGAGGGCCTGGTCAATTCCAAGAAAGTACTCAGACCTGAAAGATGGTTCAATCCTGAGGGGCAACCCCCATCTACCATCTATACCAGGGGTCTGGTAGATACCAAGAGAGGCAGTTCAGTACCAAGAGGGAGCCCCTGACTACCATCAACACCAAAAACCCGAGAGAGAGAGACCCCATCATTTTTTCATTACTTGTCCCAGAGAACCTTCAGGCTATTGGGTGGTATATAATAATAAAATAAATAAATTTTGCAGCAAGTAATACATTCATAATCAGTTATATCAAGATCAATAGCATGAAACAAAACTAACAAATGGGGTAAGCCCAAATTTCTGCTGGTGGAGAAGTAATGCCCAGAATTTTGCTGCCAAGATTACTGGAAAGTTTGACAGTTCTACCATGTCTGGGGCATGCAGTGCTCATGATGCACTGCATTTCCAGCAGTTAAACCTGTTCCCTGAGTAAATCCAGTTCAGTTTTGCTGGGGTATGATACTAAGTTTCACTGATAGCTAAACCTGCTAACTTGAGGTGAGGTGGGGGGTGGAATCTGGTAAGAATGCCAGTACTACTGATCTTTTTTTCAGCCAACCACAATCATGGTGCCAGTAAAAACATATCTCTTTCCTTGGTTGATTACCAAGTCATCCTTGAAAACTTCCTGGTATTGTAGACTTTTCCTGTAGAATTGCAACATCGCCTTTTTAATCTAAGATTCTTGAAATTGTGGTAGTGTTCCATGCTATGTCTTTAGACAGTGCTAAGATGTTAATCCTAATGTTTGCTATAAACAGGGTTCTGCAGTCTTATGAGGGAAAGGATTTTGACACCACTAATCTGTAGCTTTCAGCTCCTCCTATTGCACTGGCATTAATCTGTTCAAAGAGTGTTAGAAGCATAGTAAAGGAAGCAAAACAGTTGTGTATTCACCAACACTGCTGAAAGAAGTACCGGCACCTGTTTCTGTTGATTGCGAGATTATCACACTTCTGCATTCATTAGCAGGGTCAGAGGGTACAGTTGGAGAGATACCTTATGCCTGCTGACAAGCAGCAGGTGCAGCCACAGACTGACTTACATGTGAACATTTTGACAGCTGAAATTGTGCCACTGACAACTATTGCTCATGCAGACCTTTTTGTTTTTAGAAACTTTCTTCTATATGTTCTGTTTTTAATTTATCTTAATCAATAGAACCTCAAATCTCTGAACTTTCCATTCTCCACATAACTTTCAAAGTGATTTTGCTGAGTGTATAACAAGGAGCTTTGTTTATTTCAAATATTACTTTGGTTGAGGTGCTCTTTTAAGTCAGACAATCAGAATTCCATACAGCATTTCTAGGACATGGTTTGCACATTCAATTCTCTTCTTCCCTGCTTTCCCCAACAAAAGGTTTCATTTACTTCGCTTAGCTTTCCTCCAGTTTTCTGTATTGTAGTTAACAAAAGTTCAATTTGCTTGTTTTAGGATATGATTGATTTATATTCTCTTATTTTAGATAATCCAGCCCCTTTTAGATCTTGATCAGAATCGCAGCAAGTTGAAGTTGTATATTGGACATTTGACAGCCCTGTGCCATGACCGGGATCCCCTGATTCTCCGTGGACTCACCCCACCTGCTTCCTACCACCTTGATGATGACCGTGCAGCTTGGGAGAAGGAGCTGCAGAAGATGACTCTGGAGCAGGTCAGAATCTTGCCTTCCCAGTGATTTATTTGAATAACAGTTATATTGCACTATATCATCCATGGATGCTGGACACAGTTGTGCATGATGTGGGGAAAATGGATGAGACATTTTTCTCCCTCTTTCATAATACTATAACCTAGAGTCATTCTGTGAAGCTGGGCATTCAGGACTGTTAAAAGGAGCACTTCTTTATGCAGCACATAGTTAACAAGGGAGCTCACTGCTGCAAGAGTAGATATACGGTGATTGTGTTGGACCCAGCCATGATGGTCATCAATTTCAATAGTTTTAAAAGAGTATGAGACATGTTCATGGAGGATAATAGATACTAATCATAACAGTTACTTATTTCTTCCAGTATCAAAGGGAGTATGTCTTTGAATGCTAGTTTCTAAGGTTGGTGCTATTGTACTCTTGTCCTACTTGTGGGGTTCCTGCAGGCAGCTGGTTGGCCACAGTGGATAAAGAATGCTGGCTTAGATGGTTCCTTAATCTGATCATTACGGTTTTTCTTAGTACTTCTTTCAAGCTTTCAGTCAACCAGCCATGCCTTTATCCATATACTAGACTGTACTATAAAAGGTTCTAACTGATCAATTGCACCCTTCAGCTCTCCATTTTTCTTTTCCGATACTAGCATTCTGTGCGGCCTGGTATTAACACCAAGGACACAGCCTCATACATATTTAGACAACAGATGTATGCTGGGAGTCATAGGATATTTTTCAATCTTAAAATGTGATAAAATCTCCCCTTGAATTCCATGGAATGGGATTTTGTATTCTTTTCCTTTGACTGCATAGTCAGTAACTGCAAAACCCATTAACAAGATCAGGCACTCCTTTATGGTGCTTGGTACAGTAATAAGCTCCTGTACCAAAGTTTAATCAGAATGATAGTCTTTATACATTTATTTTTGTGTAAAATTATTTATTAATAAATTTATAGGTTGATCATATACACTTAGCATATCTAAAGAAAAGTCAGTAACTGGTTTACAATACAAATGCCAAAACAAATACGAAATACAAACATCATTATAGTCACTTAACTCAGAAATCTCAAAAATATTCACAAAATTCATTGGCTCAATCTGTCAGGGAAGGTCTGCATGAAGAGATAGGTCTCCAATGAAGTTCTAAAACACACTACAATATTCTAGTATAACAGGGAAAACTTCAACAAGGTGTTTTTTTTTCTTGTGGTTTAGACATCGTAGACCAAAAAAAAC